GCTGAGGCAGGAGGATTGTTGCAAGTTGGAGGCCAGCCTGGGCTACAAAGTGAGTTCAAGACCAGCCTGAACTACATAGTGAGACCCTGCCTCAAAAACCAAAAACAAAAAACCAAAAACAAAAAACAAAAGAAAATTTCAGAGGCAACAGGCCTGCTCACACTACTCAGAGGCAGCAGAGTCCAGGAAGTACCTTAGATGCCACTGGATCTAGGACTGGCTCCAGAGTCCAGAAGTCATCGGGTACTGCAGCCTCAGCTACTGACTGCACGTCCTCGAGGAAGAGAGGACTTGGCCAGTGTGTAAGGAGGTGTCCATCCTCGAGGAGGTGAACTAACAATGCTTCTGCTATTCCTTACCCAAACTCCCAAGGAGGTTCCCATCTCCCACCCGGCAATATGACACATGGATACAAAACAAAGACAGACAAAGAGAGAAAGTTCGGCAGAGGAGGAGCTCTGGGATGGCCAATGTTCTCTGTGGAACAAAAGGCCATGAGTTCAAAAGCACATGGCTTTTATTGGTATCAATCAAGGAGGTGGGTGGCGGTCTCAGCAAAGCTCTAGGGAAAAGAAACTTTCAGCAAAGTGCTAGGGAAAAGAAACGTTGCAGGGATTGGCTGTAAGGAGAAACAGAGCAATTTTGTGCCAGGCATAAAGGCTCTCCAATTAGCAATACAATGGATAGTTTGATGTATGTAAGGCTGCCACCTTTACTGCCAGGAAGGTATCATCTTGTTGAGTCAATCCCCCCAGCTGAGATATTATCTCATGTCTTGGCTGAGGAATCTCACAGGCTCCTGCTCCAGCTCCCATTTCACCCATCAGCAGGGGGTGCAATTCTTGCCCACGTGCTGCAGTGAGACAAGCTGGCATCTCAGCCAGATTCGATCACGTAGTTTTAGCCAATTAAGGGAACATCTGTTTCATATACACAGCTCTGTATGTCTCAGTGAATAGGGTTAAAGGAGAGGTCAGGGCAAGATCGAGGAAAGGGGCTTCATTTCTCAGGAGAGTGCAATTTGGTGGTCTCCCACGGTTCCCTAAGAGGCCAACAAGGCCTGGACTCGCCAGCTGAAGTCGACATCACGGGTGAGTTTGGCAGGTATTTCTCTTGCCACGTGGCAGAAGGGTATCGTCTTTAGCAAGAGGTTTGTGCTGTTCTGTAGGTTTTGGATCTCTTTAGCCAGCCGTGTATCCACAGTTCATGTTGACGGAAGGAAGCACTAAGGAGGTGCCCTGCCCCTGCAAGGCCTCAGTCCTGGGGCAGATGCTCACGCCTTGTACCTCTGAGGAGCCAGCATGCGGGTGCCCTGGACTCAGCCTTGCGTTCAGTTACCCGTCCCTGGTTGGCATTTAGTTTGTTCACTTCTGACTCTGACATCCTGGCACTGGCTCACAAAGGTCACTTACAAAATGTTGAAAATGTTGTAAATTGGTTGTTAAAAGAGTTGTTATGAGGCCGGGCATAGTGGCGCATTCCTGTAATCCCAGCACTCGGGAGGCTGAGGCAGGACGATCAATGCAAGTTCGAGGCCAGCCTGGGCTAGAAAGTGAATTCAAGGCCAGCCTGAGCTGCATATCGAGACCTTGTCTCAAAAAAAAAAAAAAAAAAAAAGATTTTTTATGAAAAACTAATTATATAAATTTATAATAAAATAAAACCAAGGTAATACTCAGAAAGAAATACTTCCTAATTCTTTTGGGACATTTGCCAATTTTCTACACTTGAGGTTATTTATGAGTATTGTTTTGCATGGTGGGAAGATTAAATAATGTGTCATTGTGCACAGCTGTCCAAGCCCATTGTTTTCTCTGGTTGCTGAGACAAAATACCTGACACCCAAAGTTAAGGAAGGAAAGGTTTATTTGGCTCATAGTTTGTGGAGGTTTCAATCCGTACTTGGCTGGCTCCGAGGCAGGTGGCACATGGCAGAGGGCTACGGTTCATGGAGGCAGAAAACAGCAAAAACAACAACAGCACAACGGGGGCAAGAACAAGCCTCTTTTCCTCCCTTATATTGTAAGCAAGCGACCCCCCCACCCAGGGGCATGTAGCACTCACATAATCCCCATGCCCTCCTCTTGCACAGGCTCAGGATGAATACAAAGGAAGGACCCTGACTCCCTGCTGAGGTGCTTAGTTGACCTTCTGAACTTCTCAAGTTGACACAATGAACAACATCCCAGAGGGTAACAGCATGTCCTTTTCACCCCAGGATGCAGAACTGCTGAGTCACTTAGCCAATCCTCTAGTCTCCCCAAGTTGACACAATATATCAACCACAACACCCATGTTTAGTGACACTCTCTGAATAGCTTCAAATTTGCCAGGACAGGAACATTTACACCAGAAAAAGGCCTGCCTATCCAGAGGGCTGGTTGGCGGGCCTTTACCAACACACTGCTGGCAGCACGGCCTCTAAGTTGGACGACAGGGACTGGTTTGGAGGTGAGCCGAGGCAGATCACAGAAGCCATGTGCAGATTAGAGCCAAGAGAAGGCAAGGGAAAATGGAAACAGGATACACCAAAGAAGAAAATGAAATAAACATTATTTGCCAAAATAATAGCTTTAAACTGATTCGGGCATGGTGGCGCACACCTGTAATCCCAGCACTCGTGAGGCTGAGGCAGGATGATCCCCAAGAGTTTGAGACCAGCCTGTGCTATGTAGTGAATTCAAGGCCAGCCTACACTGCAAAGCAAGACCCTGTCTCAAAACAAAACAAAATAAAACAACCCTCCCCAACAACAATAATACAAAGTAGGGGTGTGCTTATGTTTAATTGATTTGGAAGACAAGAAGAAATCACATGATTCAGAGGGAAACAATGTAAAACATTGATTCTCAACTCGAGGTCACCTGAGGACCTTTTAAAACACACACTGCTGCCTCTGCGGGGAGTGGGCCAACAGCTACATTTCTAAGTGTCCAGGTGCTGTCGATATTGGTAGTCAAGAACCATATTCTGAGGGTCACCGATATAAACTATAACATAAGTGAGTTGTCATGGCTCTGAGAGGGGTGAGGCTCCTAGAAATCAGTATAGTCAGTGAAGTTTGACTTGGGCTGATCACTGAAGAAAGAGAAGAATGTGTGCTTGTACTGCTGACAGAGGGAAGCGCTACAATCGGAGGAGAAGGCGGGAGTGAGGGCTTGGGGGTGGGGAACAGTGCGTGCGTGCGTGTGTGCGTGCGTGCGTGCGTGTGTACGCTGGGCGGGAGCTTAACCCACTAGCCAATGGTTCGAGCGGTAAGAAAAGTGCTTATGTAGGCAGTGATGATAAGTGAATTCTGAGTACAATGAATGATTTCATGGAAAAACTTATACATAAGGTGAAGAAGCCACTACAGTGATTTATACCTTTTCCATTTAAAAGTTTTCTTATTGCAAAAACATCAGGTTTGGATATGGTTTTAGTTGTACAGAAACTAAAGAAAAATCAATGCTTTATCATAAAGATACTGCGCAATGTCAAAATATCAGGTCATGGCTCTGACAGTGCTGTGAGGCACAAACCTTATTGACAACCGGGGCCATGCTGGTGATTTTCTGAAGGCTTAATTTGCTAATTTCAGGATTGGAATCACTGATCCAGTTTCTGAGGAAGACCAAAAATAATTCTGGGAGTGGGTCCTTGAAGAACTTATCCAGAATCTGAAAAAAATAAAAACAAAACAAAAACACTGAATGAGTGGAATCAGGCCAAAGGGCACGGTTTCATGAAAGTTGAAACTGGGCTGAGTCATGCAAACCTCCCAAGTACTTACTTGCATTCCTACCTATAACCCTGTGCTCACAGAAGGGGGAGCCAAGAATCAGATAAGGAAGAGACGCTTTGCTTTGTTCTCTTTTGATAATTTCTTTCCATTGCTGGAAACTAAATGACCCACTTTAAATTACTCTCTTTGCCAGGGATGGTGGTGCATGCCTGCAGTTCTAGCCCTTGGGAGGCTGAGGCAGAAGGATCTCCAGGAGTTCCGGGCCAGCCTGGGCTACATAGTGAGTTGAAGGCCATTTGGGGGTACAAGGCAGACCCTGCCTCTAAATAAATAAATAATACTCCTCTTTGGATTATAGTCAGATGGCTGAGTTTTTTGATAAGGTATTTTGTGTATGTGAAAAGAGAATGCCTCCTTTGGCCCAGGCACTGTGCTGGTAAGTGGGGGATATAGTGGTGAGAACAGTCACAGCTCATGAGCTTGTGGTGCTTATAGAGCAGCTAATGAGACTGAGGCAGCACAAGACGCTGCTCTGCACGATTCTAAAGAAAACAGCCATTCACTGTGACCAGCACTGGGCAGAAAAGCTACAAGATGCCGCAAGGACATCCGCAGGAGCACTGAGTGGAGACTGTATGGTACACATTGAATTTGGAACAAACAGTGATATTTAGGTTTGGACTTGAAAGCAGAGTTGCCATTAGCTAGATAAAGTGTTTGGAGAGAATACCTCCAAGGGGGTGACCACGGATGTACAAGGCTCTGGGGCAGAGGGCACAAACACCAGTGAAGCGGGGAGAGGGAACCAGAGGGGGTGGATCCTGTTTTAAAAACAAAATGAAAGAAAAGAAGAAAGGAAGAGGAAGAAAGGTCAACTTAGCAAGACTGTCTCAAAAAAATAAAGGCCTTAGAAATGCAGCTCTATGCAGAAGTTTTGGGTTCAATTCCAGAGAGATACAGAGACGGGGAGGGTCAGGGAGACAAAGGAACAAAGGAATAAAAGAAAGAAGAAAAAAGAAGGAAAGAAAGAAAGAAAGAAAGAAAGAAAGAAAGAAAGAAAGAAAGAAAGAAAAAAGGCACATGTGCTGGGGCTTTATACATGCTAGGGACATACTACCCATCAGCTCTACCCTCAGCACAGATGTTTAAATTCTTAACAAAATTGTAACAAATCAATTTCCAGCTATATCTAGGTTTTTTTTTTTTTTTCTTTTTGAGATAGGGTCTCACTATGCAGTTCAGGCTGGCCTTGAGCTCACTTTGTAGCCCAGGCTGGCCTTGAACTCCCAGTGATCCTCCTGCTTCAGCCTCCTGAGTCCCGGGATTACAGTCCTGAGCCACAATGCCCAGCTAGTTTTCAGAGTAAATATTGCAATGATGTTTTAAATTTTATGAATATATCATTAATGTTATGTAAGAAAAACATCACATTTTAGCTATTAAAAGAGAGTTAATAAAGTTCAACTTCAATTACAACCATGGACAAAACACTGGTGAACTGATGACAGTTTCCAATAAAAGTTAACTATGTCAACTGTAAAGCAGAAAAAGCCTCTCCACTAAAATGCATAATGAAATGAGAAAGTAGTCCTATCTCTGTGATTATTGAGAATTGTCCAAGAAGTCCCTTTTTGTTTGTTTGTTTGTTTTTTTGTTTTTCTTCCGGTACCAGGAATCGAACTCACGACCTTGCGCTTGCCAGGCAGGCGCTTTGCCACTGAGTTTAATCCCCAGCTCCTTGTCTAAGAAGTCCTTATAGGTCTTCTACTCATCCCCACAGCAGCAATAGTTTCACAGCCACCATGGCCAAAAGTCCCTTTGTGGGGTTCTTTGGCATTACTTAAAAAGTCAAAAACCCTACTGGAGATCAAAATTGAAGACCATGTTTTTGAGGGGCCAGCTTTGCATTCTGGTGGCAGGCTCAGCAACCATGGCCATAACTTCAGATTCAGAAAGGCCCTATTTTCCTATGGACTTGACTACAGCTCTGCTTGGGCTTGATTCTACCACAGAACCACCCAGCAAGGAATCCAGGAGGAGTCATGTCCACTTATGCCTCAGATAACAGGCTTGCCAAACTTGGTCCCGACTAGGGACAGTGAAGTGACCCTAAGAGGCAGCTCTATGCTCTCGGCAGTCTCGCCTGCTTAGGGAGCTGCCTGAGGCCTGCCCATCTGTGGCCCCGTAGGTAGGCCTGCTAGCCTTGGTTCCCCTCGCAGGTCCTGGAACAGCACAGCAACTTGGCTCTAGTCTCAGCTGCAGTTTGGGAGAAGTCCTGCCTTCCCAGGGACCCAGTGGCGGACATGCCTATCTATGCACCCTGAGGCAGGCCTGCAGACCATGGTCTGTGGACTTTGAAGCAGAGGACTCACTTCAGTATCACTCACCATGGTATGGGGTCTGTCTTGATCAGGGACCCACCCAATGTGACAGCTGGAATCTTCCCATGAACACAGAGAGAGCCACTCTCGTGTACAAACTCCGTAAGAGGTCTGCCATCTGTGGACCCTGAAGCAAACAAACCCTCATTCCAGTGCCAACCCTACTAACCAAGGTTCTGGAAGCAGTTCTTTGCACCCATGGACTGACAAAATTCATAAAAACATGCCCCGAAGAGAAGGTCTTTATCTGCACAAGCTAGTGTGGAAATGCCGGAAGGGGCTATTTGCTATTTCAAACACACAGATGCCCGTGTAGTGACGCATAGGCAAGCATGACTCTGCCGAAGAAAACTAATAAAGCTCTAGTACCCCGCCAAAGCAAAAACAGAAACAAACACAAAAGGTATGTAGGAACTCCCTGACAGAATTCAAAACAAAACAACAAAGAGGGGCTGGGGATTTAGCTCAGCAGCAAAAGCGCCTGCCTGGCAAGCGCAAGGTCATGAGTTTGGTTCCCGGTACCGGAGGAAAAAAAAAACAAAAAACAAAACAACAAAGATAACTAAATAAAATTTGAAAAACAATATGTAAACAAAATGCGAAGTTTAATAAAGAAATAAGTGCCCATATGACATATGCAGATTAAAACTGTGATATATCATATTAACAGAATTGTTATGATTTGTGTCTGGGTGTCCCCCCAAAGCCTCATGCAGTCATGGGGCAGCTTGTAGAGTTTATGACCGATCCATTATCCAATGCTGGGATTGTGGGTGTGAGTGCTACACCAGCCTGGGGTGGGTAGTTTTGCATATGTAAGGGAGGGAAAGAGGCTGCTTGCCGCCATACCTCCCTTTGGCTCTTGCTGCTGTTGTTGTCTTCCGCTGCCACGAACGGTTGCCTTCTGCCATGTGCCACCCTGCCTTGGAGCCAGCCGAGTATGGACTGAAACCTCCACAAGCTATGAGCTAAACAAACCTTTCCTTCCTTGATTCTGGGTGTCAGGTATTTTGTCTCAGCATCGAGAGAAAAGTAACCAAGGCAAGAATTCAGGATAAAACTCCTGATCTTCTCAACAGATGAAGAAAAAGAATTTGACAAACATGTCAAAAATTCTCAGAAGGTGAGGAAGAATGTGATCCTGGCTGAGGACCTGGGAGGCGTATGAATCTCTGATAGCAAAAGACACTAATATTCATGAGAGGCAATTAGATCTCTCCACGCTTCATCTGTCACATTGATGATGCTAATATAAATCTTTTTTTTTTTTTCTGGTACTGGGAATCGAACTCACGACCTTGTGCTTGTCAGGCAGGTGCTGTGGTGCTGAGCTAAATCCCCAGCCCAATAACTTTTTTTTTTTTGATACTGGGAATCGAACTCAGGACCTTGCGCTATAAATCTTACGTAGTTTGTAAATTTCTTTTGGATGTATCATTTCATGGGAGATTTTATTTATGTACCACTTAAACTTATTTAATATTTATACATACTTACATATCAATATAATGAAAATATTGAATAACAAAATAAAACTAATAAGAGAAGCAAAAGGATTAAGCACCTTTGAGAAGTGTTCAGGTAAATTGATTCACATATACTTCAGAAAGCATTAGAAGTGCATCATTTAGTGTATAAGATCTTCAATAAACTATTTTGCTATGTTTGAAGTCACTTAATATTTTTTAAGAATATGGGGCATCACACCTTTACATTATGACTTTTATGGAAAAATTACATTTGACTCAATTTCAATTTATACAACCTTGCTTTTACGCTAAAGGGCTTCCTCAGTATGCTTGACTTCACTATGACATTGTAATATATGGTATAATATTCATATTCAAAGTATTATGCTTCCACATCTTCATTTTATATGGTTGTTTGGACAGTTCCTATTTATTACAAAGAGAATCTCAGTTATCATGTAGACCAGGTGTCACTTACTACCTTTGGAAAACCCAAATATTCTTGATATGCAGGCTTGCAAAACATATGAACTGATACTATAAAAATTGTTAGTATTTGTACAAATACACTCTCCAGGAGAAGATAAAAGCCAATTCTGACAGCAAACTAAAGAAGAAACTCTCCCATAATCCAGATGTAACTCATCCCACTGCCCCTTCCCCACCTTTAGATGTCTTTTTATTTTCTTTTAATTCTTGGTCAAAACAAATATTCTGGTTTTTTTTTTTTTTTTTGGTTGTTTTGAGACAGGGTCTCGCTGTGTAGTTCAGGCTGGCCTTGAGCTCATTTTGTAGCCCAGGCTGGCCTGGAACTTACATTGATCCTCCTGTCTCAGCCTCCCAAGGGCTGGGATTACAGGCATGTGCCACCGCGCCCTGCAAAACAAATATTCTGAAGGGGATACAAGAGGCTAGAGTGTTAAGCTTAGATAAGAAAATGAGAACTGTGTTATTCATAGTTTCCTATTAAAACTCACTTTGATGAAGAATGTTACTATGATGATATGCTCTTCTGACCTCCTAGGGCCTTGCACTAAGATCTTGTAGAGATAACGTAAGGTTTCTGGAAATTGTGGGAAGTTACAGTCACAGAGAGTTCTGTAAAGGAGAAGGAGGCACTGAATTAGCACAGGAGAAAACATGTTCTGTGTTAGCACATACTGGTGAAAATGAAGAAATAAACCGGGCAGGAAGGTGTACACCTGTAATTCCAACGCTCTGGGAGGCTGAGGCAAGAGCATTGAAAGTTCAAACCTAGCCTGGACAACTCAGTGAGACTCTGTCTCAAAATTTAAAAAAAAATTAAAAATACATCTATGGATGGGGATACATCTCAGCGTGAAGGCGCTGGGTTCAAGGTTTAATTCTTAGTACTGGAAAAAGAAAGATGAACATTAGCCTCATAGTTTTTACCTCCCAGAGTGAAAAAGAAAGATACTCCTAGTATCCCCGATCCAGGATAAACTACAGCCTCACTGTGAGTTCTGCACAGCCTCTGGGGGTTATGTACCCCGGGGCCTCTGTCCACATTTTTTTCCTTAACGCCACTTCTCCTTCTTGTGTCTCCCATCCCGTGCCACACACAAAAAGGGCACTCTCCCATCCATCCTTGACCAAATGGAGAGGTAGTAAATATCTAAAGGTCAACTTGCAATAGGCATGCAGTTTTGATCACCTTTGTGGTTTTTTTTTTTGTTGTTTTTTTTTTGCTGATACTGGGAATCGAACTCAGGACCTTGGGCTTGCCAGGCAGGCACTATGCCACTGAGCGAAATCCCCAGCCCCTTGGTCTTTTTGAGACAGTCTCGCTATGCAGTTCAGGCTGGCCTTGAGCTCACTTTGTAGCCCAGGCTGATCTCAAACTTAAAATGATCCTCCTGCCTCAGCCTCCTGAATACTGGGATTACAGGTGTGCGCCACCATGCCTGGCCAAAATGCCATTTTTGAAAGCACCAAGAGGGCTGGGGATTTAGCTCAGTGGCACAGTGCCTGCCTGGCAAGCACGAGGTC